ATATATATATATACTATATATATACTATATATATATATACTATATATATATATATATATATATACAGTGGGTCGTCACTGTTTGCGTTTTTGCATGTATGCAAGTGCAAAAACACATACTGTAACCATTTACAGTGTGCATGCGTCTTCCGGGTATTTCAGCTCGACGGCCAAGCAGCCTTCGGCACTGAAATTTTGCCAGTGGGTTCCCCGGCCAAGTGCCATACGAGGGTCGCGGTATCAACGTTCTCGCTTACCTGAAACCCGCATGGTTTCGACGGGAAAACTGCTAACTCGGGGATGAGAAATGATGAGAGGCTAAAATTTTAAAAGGATGTTCCCCATCCAGGTACTAGTTAAAAATTTCGAATTCGTCCCTTGAACACCCGTGGCATTCAAGTACGAGTACATAAAAGTTTTAGCTAGAAAATTGCTAATTCGGGAAGCAGAAACTAAGAGGCTGAAGTTTTAAAGGGATCTTCCCCACCCAGGTACAAGTTAAAGTTTTCATATTCAGCCCCTTTTGGTACGCTTGGCGCTCACGTGCGAGTACGTTGGAGCTTCGGCGAAAAAATTGCTAGCTCGGGAACCGGAAAGGCTGGGAGGCTGAAATTTTGAGGGAATATTCCCCACTCATCTGCAAGTTACAAATTAAAAATTTCAAATTAATCTCCCAAGTATGAGTGATTCTCACGTGCAGGCACTTAAAAGTTTTGGCTGAAAAATTTTCGTACTGAACAGCTAGGTCATTTTCAAAGAAAGACTGTTCTATGGAAACTTTTCATTTTTCGTTATGCAAAACTTACGATGATTTACGCTAGGAAGCTAACAAGGTATGGGTAAAGCAGCAACCATTCATACATGGTTAACGACCTGATTACTACAAGTTTAGTGCAAAAACTCATGATCACACCGACAAGCCTGGTGCGTTCCAGCTCGGAGTTGCATTCGTCTATATGCGAAAACGCATGGAAGCGACCGGACACTGACTGTGGATATCCAACAAAACTACAAATTTCTTTTCAAGAGGCTTCTTCGGAGTTCAAAATAGGTCGATTGTACTTGAACGTTGCGGTCGAAATTGAGGATCTCCTCATATAACAAGATACCGGAGAGAAGAAACATCAGAAAGGAGAATTTCCATGATGTGGGATATTATTTCTTCCGCTAACGCGTGACAAGTTGAAGGAAATGGGTTAAACGCTCAATTACGTCAGATTTATTTACTCTTTAACATTTTGTCACCCATGACTGCGGCATTTAAATGTGGCCTTTTCAGGGTCAAAGACGGAGACCGATTAAGGCTATTTTGTATGTCTCAGGAGACGGGTTGCGTGTTGTTGATCAAGAAAGTAGCCGGGGCTTAATTGTCGATCAAACTATCGAAAAGGTTTGCGTCGCACTTTTATGAAAAACGAAGTTTTTTCTTCTGCTGGCTGAAACTTTGTTTGTTTTACATAGTTAAGGCCAGCCTGTGTCTGACCCTGTTTTAAGCCAGGACGATAGCCGCAGTTTTTTCAGCAAGCAACATTGAAAGGTTTCAGAGACGACAGTTTTGTTTTTTTTTTTTTTTTTTGAAAATTATGTCGTGAAAACTCCTTCAGTCGGGCAGCGAGTCCCTTTACAATTCATTCATTTTTTTCCGATAAATTGGTAGTGGTGCTTTCTAGCGAACGGTTGCTGTTGACGTACACTTTAGCGCAGACTATTTCTGAATGCATTTCTCTCTCACAGAATAATTGTAGGAGAGAATGGGAGACGGGGGGAAGGGGTGGGGGCAAGGCTGATTTTGATCCCTGACATTCAAAAAACTTTATCTGCCAACATTATTTTAGTCATGATTTGTAGCACAGTAGATTTAAAATATAGGACACTGTTATAGTCCGCTAATTTAAATCTGGTTTGTAGTTCATCAGACTTGCCAGTGAAAACGTGTATTTTACTGTTTTCCCCTCAGATATTTGCCACAAAGTAGTACTGCTTTTCCAGCAAGTATTTCTAGCTAAACAAGTTGCGAATGGCCATCTTCGTTGTCACAAATTACAAGGATTCCCAATTAACAAATAAGATTGTACTTTGATGTAGGAGAAATAGGAAGTTTGTTTTTAAGTGCACTTGCCTGATCATGATCAAACGTGCCCGCGGGTAACAGGTACGGCCCCGTAAAAATTTGGGCGAGTGTAATTATTATCACGGGAACCACGGAAGCTAGAAGGCTGAAACTTTGTGGGCATGTTCCCTGCCCAAACGCGGCTCAGAAAGTTTAAATTCGGCTTTTTCCTGCCCACGGATAGCACGATCGGCCCCGTGAAAATTTTGACAGATAAATTATTATTTCGGGGACCGCGGAATCTACGAAGCTGAAATTTTAAGGTAATAACCCCCTGCCCACACTTGACCTTGTCTTTTCGAATTCAGCTTTTACGCGCTCTCGGGTATCACCTATGGCCCCGTAAAACTTTTGGCGGGTAAATTATTATCCTGGAACCACGGAATCTAGGAAGCTGAAATTGTGGAGTAATGACCCCCTGTCCACGTAAGACCTCACGGATTCAAATTTAGTGCCCCTACGCTCTTGGGTATCACCTATGACTCCGTGAAATCTATGGCGGAGAAATTATCTCGGGGACCATAAAAGTCAGGGAGCTCAAATCGTATGTTAATCTCTTCTGTCCACGTACAATCCTGTAATTTTAAAACCAGCTTCCCACGCGCCCGAGTGTCACTTACGGCCCCGTAAAAGTTTCGGAGGGGAAAATTATTATCTCGGGGACCGCGGAAGTTGGGAATCTGAAATTTTAAGGTGATTTCCTCTACAAACGTATAACTTCGCAAGTTTGATTCAGCCTTCACGCGCCGCTTGGTACCACGTACAGCCCCGTGAAAGTTTTGATAGAGGAATTATTATCTCGTGTGCGTAAAATTTTTAGTAAGAAATTCCGCAACTTAAGAATCAGACAACATTTCAACTATTTTTGCACAGACCAAAGTACAGAGCATTGAAAATTATTAGCAGGCAATCGTTCGGTGAACGCAATTGTACAAATGCATGATCGGCTCTCTGGTGCGCGCCGCTATTTATTTAATTCCTGCCGTCTAAATTTTTGGTCAATTTTAGGTATCATTTTGCGCTCCTGATCGAAATCATGAGAAAGGCTTTGCTTACATCTGTCGTGATGGAACATCAAGACGTTGGATGTGTCATGGTTTTCACGCAACCAAAGAATCGGTAAGGATTACTTTTCGTGGAGTCTGCCCTGATATTCATTTTTTTTTTTTTTTTTAATATAAAATTACATCTTGAGTCGTGTTCATTTGTCCTTTATTCTGTTCACATTCCCTCACTTATGCTTTTATCCATTTGTTGAGTCGATACTGGAAAGATTTTCCCAGTGGATTTCTGGTGCAAGAAGTTTAATCTCATTTTGAAAATACATAGCGTACACCTCCGGTGGCGCATTTTTATCTTTTTTTCTTGATCTCATGTAGTATCGTGGCTATCTTTCACATCTAATCGAATGTTTGATTGTAACAGACAGTATGTTAGGCGGGACTAACTTTTAACTTTGATAAAATCTCTGTTTTTTGTAAAAAATTCGGAGGTTCGGTAAATTGAGATTAATCATTGGCGACGCACATTGTGCAAGCCCATGTGATCATGCGTTTTTGCAGTATCTCACGCTGTAGTAAGATCGCTTGGAATCACAATAGGTAGAATTTGTGGCACGCTGTTCCTTGAACATCAGGAAGTTAATCGTACAATTACCATTCGGTACTTGGAAAGGGAGCATTCTATTAAAATTTTGGTGTCTCAAACTTCCTGGCTCCCGAGCTAGCGATTTCCCTCCAAAAAAAAGCTTTTACAGGGCCATACTTGAGTACTACGCGTAACTGGGGGCGGAATTTGAAATCTTTGGTTCTAAGTGGTGAGGGAACTTACCCTCAAAGCTTTTCTGGTTCCCGAGTTAGCAATTTTCCCACCAAAAATTTTCGCAGTGCCACAAGTGAGAACTACACACGCCTGAGGGCTGGATTTGAAACCTTTGAGTTCTACATGGACGGGAAATGTCTCCTGAAAATTTCAACCTCCCAGCTTTTCTGGTTCCCGAGTTAACGGTTTCCCCGCCAAGACTTTCACGTGGTCGTTCGCGAGACCCGGACGTACGTGAGAGTCGTGCCGCGGTCCTGGGATGGCGCTTAGCCGAGGAACCCGCCAGCAAAAATTTTGGTGCCGGAGCTTACCGATACCTGGACAGACACACACACAAACATCCACACACACGCACACAGGGGTTGTCATAATATGCGTTTTTGCTCGCTGTAGCGCCGCACAGCGAAAATGCATAAAAATTAGAAATGTCGCAGTATGTGTGAGATGCATTGCTATGATCGGGCAAGTAAGCAGTCTGGAAAAGCGCGGTAATCATGTTCGTTGACTAACATCGATTTTCACTGCAAAAGTAGGCCACGACCCCGTACTGCGCCTTCAGTTTTAGATTGTTCCATTATGTTGAAACGCCTATGTTTATTGCTTTTCTAGACAGCCCGCTTGGCATATAGTCGTAACGCGTTCCACATAGGATTTCGTCATTCCAAGTTCCTTACTGTACTCGATTTCCCGAGCCATTTTTACGTCATAAAAAGCAGAAAAAACTTCAGATTTTTATTGCCAGGGAAAGCTTTTAGGCTTTTGTGTTTGTAACATTTGCATATTTGTGTATTCCTGTTTGCGCAAATGCAAATTTCGCAGCATTCTCCACATTACTTCTGGCTTTTTTTAGGGTGAACGTCTAAGCCACGCAGTGGGCTGTGCATTTGCAATTTGTCTGGAGAGGAAGAAGAAGCGTGATGCTGAAGCAGTTGCAGCGGCTCAAGCAGCTGCTGGCTTCCCGCCACTGGGCTGCGAGAAATCCAGTGCTGGTTTTACATTAAGCGCAATCACCCAGCAGCAAACACCATCTTTCCAGACAAAGTATTCTGATGATATTTCCTTTGTTTTTACAAAATTCTGCCCCGAAGAAATCGATTTGTAAGGTTTACAGCTGGCGAATTCTCCTGAGCTTCTTAGGTGGCACTAAAGACAGAATGAAAAAGTGGAAGGGAAGCACTGATGAGGAACAGCTTGGCAAGCTCATGAAACTATGGCAAGTACTGCACTGTTTTTAGTCCCTCTATATACTATAATTTTTAAAGTGGTTCGTTTGACTGCGGAAGGTAGTGGCATTATCAATTTTTGACAACGAGGAGCGTTGCTTAAACTCACGTACCTTTACCAAAACAGCATCTCGCTAGTGTCAGCTTCTTGTTTCTCCTTGTTTGATCAAATGCTAGGCTTTCTGAAAACGTAGCGTAAATTTTGATCAATTTTTCGCGCGTTTTGTGCTATAACAGGTCTACCAAAGCGCATGTTGTCACCCTCTGTCTCCGTGTCTAAGTATTCATATAGAAGTGTATTTGTTGACGTGAATCCTGTCCCGGATTTTCAACTCAAAAACTTGAAAAGCTGGAAGGTCAGAAATTTAGAAGTATTCTTTCTGCTTATGCACTACTCGCAAATTTAAATTTAACTCTAATGCACGCCTAGGTCCCACGTACGGCTGCATGAAAGTTTTGACGGAAAAATCAGTGACTGGGGAGCCAGGAATTTCAGAGGATGTTTTCTGCCTATGTGGAATTTCGCAAACTCGAATTCAGCTTCCACGTACGCCTAAGCTTCACACGCGGACACGCAAAAGTTTTGTTAGGGAGTTTTCTGACTCAGAAACTGTGCAGTAGGGCAAGGTGTTATTTTCCAGAGATATTTTCAGCCCACATGCAACCATATAAATTTAAACTCATCTTCCAAATACGTCTAGATCTCACGTTACAGATACATGAGCGTGCTGGCAGGAATTTTTCTGCTTTGAGAACTAGAAAGACGGTAGGCCGGAAATTTAGGATGAAATTTCCTGTTAATACGTAATCCAGGAACCCCAATTTTAAATTCCATGTTCGCTTAGGCTTCAAATACGGAGACGCAAAATTTCATACAGGAAATTTTAATTCGGTAACTAGGCAAGATAGCTAAAATTTTCTGGGAATATTTTTTGTACGCAAGCAATTCTGCAAACTCAAATTCAGTCGTCGCGCTCGATTACATGAAACATTTTGTGGGAAATTTCGCAGCTTAGGAGCCAGACAACACATCGACTATTTTTGCACGCTCCAAGGTGCAAAATAGTATAAATCCTTATCAACAAACGTTCGCTGGACGGAACTGCTCAAAGCACATGATCACACCGACTGCCCTGGTGCGCGTCTCTATTTATTTTAAATCACAGTTTGGTTGTTCCGGTTCTTGCATGAGCTCTGTTTTCTTAGTTGGTTAACTTTTGACGACTTACTCGATTTTCCGTCCTGTAGCAAACGTTTGCTTTTTTGACTAATTTGTTGTACTTTTTTTTTTTTCATGCAAAGGGTTTGTGCAATGTCTTGATGCGAATAGAGAAGCGTTCGGCTCTTTTTTTAGTTCTCAAGAATGCTGATGCTCCGTACCTGCGAGTTCGGCATGCTTCGGGCATAGTAAAATTTCGTCAAAACTTTATTTTCTCTCTGATTTTTATTCTCATATTTAGCGGTGTGCAGGCGTGTGACTCTTCAAATTCTTGCAAGTGTGCTCATTATACAAATTTCATTTTGGATTTTTCCAGTTCCTTCGAAAGAAATGTCAATCATAGTTCCTTCCGTCGCTTGTCAATAACGGAGCGGCTACAAGATCCTCAAACTGCAATCGTGCAGCAGCCGCCTGTTGCATCTGCCTGCGCGTCATCTGAATTGCATATCACTCCCAAACCTCGGCCAATCGGAAATCCCCTACTTTTCGAAAGGCAGGTAAGCCGTCAGGTGCAGTTTCTAGACGTATTTTCAGCTGTGTTGGTAATTCATCAGTAATTTAGGTTATTTTGATGGCATGTTTTTTTTTTTTTTGTTATCAACCCGTGAAGTCTTTAAGTTCCTATATTATATGCGTCTGTTTTGTAGATCGTCTCACTCACAGCAGTAGCCGTTAAAAGTGTCTGGTCATAGTGTCGGCTTGCTCTTTTTGATTTGCTGTTGGGCGAATTGATTTGAATAGACTCGCCACCCATCTGAGCTAAGGAATGAATTTGTCTTATAATAATATTCAACGATCCATTGCACGTTCAAGCTTAGCGAATTGGCACGAATCTCGCGGCGCCGTAGTTTTCCGGCGAATTTCATGTTGGATATAAAGTGTGGTTAATTAATTTCTAGTATGGAACAACAAGAACTTTGCCGAGTTTTAGTGGTTGCCGGAAAAATAGGGATGAAGAATGGATACCTGTTTTGGTTGCACTGTTTTCTTCCTAAAGGCCTCATGCTTCTGAGGAAATAAGCATATTTTTTAGGGATCGTTACGCGTGCTAGCTCCTTCTGTCAATGGTGCCGCAGCATTCAGACGGCAGTTTTCGCTTCGATCGAATTCCAGTTCTCCTATCAAAATGGTAAGTGCATATTCATTTGAAATTTTTGAAAATGCTGTAGTGTTAAAACCAGTTTCAGAATGCCGGCATTGCATCTGCTTTTGTTACAGTTCCCTCTGGTTGATTTTGACTACACGTATGTTGTTTTAGTGAAAGCTTGGGCTGTATAGGAAAATTGGGCGGTTCGGGCGGCTGGTCTTCAGGCCCTCGCTAATGCTTTTTTGCTCCCTCTGCCGAATTTTTCTTCTTTCTGCAAATTTCTATGTCTTTCTATCCACTTTTCCACGTATCTGTCGCCTCTACTGAAGCAAAATGCTTTCTGCTCCCTTTTGTCCTGTTCTCTCCCTTCGTTTCTTTTCGCATAATTCCATCTTATTTGGTCACATTTTGCCAAAAAATATATTTAAGCATAGATGTGCCACTGAGGTGATGTATTTATTGGAAGTGTATTTATTGAAATAGTCTGTTTTGTTAAGTATTGCTTTTGCGACTCAAGTTTTCTATCAAAGGCGCTTCTAATTTAGTAAGAGTGATGAATTCAGAATCATTAGGATATCTGTGCCCAGTTTCCAGTTTCACTTTTTATTCACATGCGTATCGAAGGTAGCGGGTATAAATTAGGAACAAGCCAGAAAATCAGAGCCAGATTAAATGCACTCGGTCCGTGGATGCATCTGAATAGTAATATTAAGGGTTGTACTTATTTTAGACTACTATAGTGATGCGGCAATTTTCGGACCCACAGCTGTATGCTTAGAATTCACTTTACTCTTTTCTTTTTCGAGATTTAAATTACCAGTAGTTTAGGTACAGTTCTGTGTGGATTTTAAAGGAACTTTCTGAAGACATGAATTAGCTGTGCATTTGAACCGCAGGAGCTAAGTCGTAATTCCACCAATCTCCAGCGCACTTTTTGAAGTGGCCGTTACCCTTGGGGAAGCAGTTCTGCGTCCACTGTTGTTTCTGCAGCGAGGAATATGTATTTCGTATTTCAGTCATATCATATCTATATGTGTTTTTGAAAAAAAAATTACTAAGTCAATCCGTTAATCATAGCAATTTTTGCAGTCACAGCAGCAGACAATCTCAGCTGCACCAGTGGTAAGGAACGAACCAATACTTGAAGACGAAGAAGATAAAAGCTGTTCAAATGATGGTGGAGCGCTGAATGAGGGCGGGACTTTCGAGAATGCACCCTATAACCCAGTGAAATGCAATGGATTCAGGTAAATGCATTCGAATCTTTGAAAGTATTTTGGAAGTGCTAAATGCCCGAAATACCATGACCGCCTGAACAGTCACTCATGCCATTACATGGATTTTCCTACACGCCAAGGATTAAACAGATTGTAATCAATCTTCAGTGCATCTTCCTTTCGGGTTACCTACCCAACAGAAGAATTGAACGAATTGGGAAAGGAATGCATTAATGTTTAAAATAGCCATGCGCATAAGAAATGGAACAGACTGTTTTGCTTCTCAAATAATTGCGGGACGCTAAATAAGGGCACTACAGTTTATTTGCATCACGTTCTAGATGCGCAACTCAGTGATGAATGTTGTTGTGCTTCTGATTATATGTCGGATTAGAAATGATGGAAAACATCATTGGAAAGAGTACTTCTTCGGTATATTAAATTGCAGAGTATACTTAGTTGAAAATCCCAGACAAAAATTCGAATACGCGCACATACACAAAATCTTGGCAATATGCGTTTTGCACATATTGCCAAGATTCTCTGTGTGTGCGCGTATTCAGTTAAAAAGGGTAAATTGGAAAAAGGAACAAACAAATGACGGCATGCGCCAAGGTAGCCGGTTCTATTATGCGTTTTACGCAATTCCATCCAGCGGATATTTGCTGCTGAGAATTTTCACTGCTTTACACTTTGATGTGCGCAAAAATAGTCAGTGTGTTGTGTGGTCCCTGAGCTACTAAATTTCTTGCTGAAAATCTCACGTGACCGCACGTGAAACGCGGGCGTACGTCTGAGCTGAATTTAGGTTTATAGGATGCAGGATTGCATATGAACAAAAAACATTGTTCAAAAATTTCACTTATCTTGTCTGGTTCGCGAACTAAAAATTTCGCATGTAAAATTTTTTGTCCGCGCTTGAGACTTAAGCAGACATGAAAGTTGAATTTGAAATCCCAGGATTTCATACTAACAGAAAACATCATCCTAGATTTCCAGCCTTCGACCATCTCCATTCTTGAGGTACCGATAGCACACCCACACGTCACTTATGTGAGGCACAGTTATATTTGGAAGGTGGGTTTAAATCTCTGTGATCGCACATAAGCAGGAAACGTGCTTGTAAAATATCAACTGTCTATCCTTTCGTCTTTCGAATCGGAAAAATCTCTAGCCAAAACCGCACGTCTTCATGCATAAGACTTTGATATACGTATAAGCTAAATTCGAGTTTGTATAGTCCCGCATAGACATTCTTCTGAAATTTCAGCTTTCTAGCTTTTCTTTCTTCCCAGTTAGTGACTTTCGCACCTGAACTTTCATGCTGTCGTCGTGGGACCCAAATTCGCGTCAAAGCTAACATCTAGCTTGATGTTGCGCATGGGCAGGAAACATTCTTAGAATTTCAGCTTCCTAACTTTTCTGATCCCCGAGCTAGTGGCCTTTGCGCCAAAACTTTCACATGTTTTTACGTGAAACCAGTGCTTGCGTAAAAGCTGGATTTGAAAACATTAGATCATAATGGGCGGGGAGCATCTCCCTGAAATTTCAACTTCCCAGCTTTTCTAGTTTTAGTGATTTCCGTGCCAAAACTTTCACGTGTCCATACATTAGAGTAGGGTGTGTGTGAAAGCTGGATGTAAATTTGCGAGGTCGCACATAAGTGGGGAACATACACTTAAAATTTTAGCCTCCTAGCTTAGGACCAGGAAGACGAGAACCCGAGACAAAACGGACACATAAACACATCTACGCAGCCACGATCGTGGTGATATGCTTTTTACGCAATTGTTACAGTACAAAATACATAAAATGTAAGGAGGAGAAAAAAAAGAAAAAAAAAAATAAGATGCAGAGGGAAGGGCTTTTCGTTCCATTAAATTATGTTGTTCTAACTTGCTCACATCTGGATCTCTCATTACAACGGTTGCTGCGTGGATTTATGGGGAATGGCCAGAATGAGATAATAGGAATAATGAAGCGAGATGAAAGAGAAGTTTAGGCTAGGTAATAACGTTTAGAAGATTTTTAGCTATAAATAATTGGATTTTCAGGCAATCATTGTCATACACAGCTACGTCTTCCTCAAATCCGACCACACTTTGTAGTGCTCGGTCACAAAGTGTAATGAACTCTCCTTTGCGAATACAGACCACTTGTTCACCGAACGCAAGTGCACCACAATCATGGTATCTTTATTAATTTCTTCTTGTGAATTTATTCGTAAATTGAGTTACGGGCCAATTTTTTTCCTGCTATGCCCTTTACTGTTCTCGCATATTTGTTTTTCTACGCTGTTAAGAGTTACATGGCTTTTACCATTGACTTAGAAATAAGTCGTTTCGAGATCTGGAGTAGTTCTCTTTGGATTTAATTCACTTCGTATTTTCCCTTTTTTCACTTCGTAATTCACTTCGTATTTTCCCATCTTGGCATTTTTCGAAGAATTCCAGTAAAGAAAGTGAACTTTTGAAGCTGGTGTTTGGGAGCCCAGAAAAGAGCACGAATTTTTCTGCGCCCGTTTTTTCATGCACTTTTGCATGCACATTTCGCACTGTAGGATTAGCTTTTGGAAGCTTACAATATTGTTATGAAAGTACAGTGCATCTCTTTGAACGTCCGACATTCACGTCATAGGGGAAGGGAGGGAGGGGGGACATGTAAAGAATTTAACTGCACCACGAGCGAAACGCGTCATTTGCAGGCTAAGCAGCCCCACCTTCACACTTCCGTCAGCAGTAACAGCGAAGTCGAAAGCAGATGAATGGCTTGAACAGACGCTGCAGTCATCACTTTCACTAAGCTCACAGTTCAGGAATAGCATGGCAGCTTGCTCCCTCACTGAAGGTATTAAATTTTGACTGTAATTCTGGCAGAAGCAAGCGGAAATGACCGATTAAATTAAGAGCAGTCAATTTTGCGAGTGATCTTACTTAGTAATTCTGCCTTTATATTCTGTCGATCAGAAAAAGTAGTTGTTTGAGTCAGTCATGTGGCAGGTTGTATCACTTTAGTCACTCAATCAGTTCATCTTTCTGTCGGTGAGCTATTAATCAATCAGCCCAGGCATTCTGATTTGATTTGTTTCTGCGGATATCTTAGCACACAGGGTTTGATTTCGTGTGAGGTATTTTTATTAACGACATTTAAATACTTTTATAATGTTTCCACAATGGGTCCAACACTCCACCTCAATTACAATTTCAGCCGGGCCCTCTCATAGCAGTGCTGTAACCAGTTCCACTGTCAAGAATCCAGCACATCAAACGGGAGCCACATTCAGCACGGACTTTCCACAATATGAATTGCCCCCGATAACAGAAAATTCTGCACCTCTGAACGAAGTTAGTCGTGATTCACGTTTTTTTTTTCAACCGGATTCATGAAACTGTACACGTAGAACCATTGTTGTTAGTGAGGTGCAGTTGCGCATTGTGGGACATTTTTTCTAGAGCTGCGTGCATTCATTTTGCTGGCACACAGCTTTGTTGTCCGCTCAGACAGATGCTTTTCCATTTGCTTTGGAATGTTTTATTGGAATAAATTTGGATGCATAAAAACGAGTAATTTTGTAGCGTATTTAAATGAACTATGCAAGCAATACGTATGCGGTTCATGCGCTTTTTAATCTAATAATGTAATCTATAATAATCAGTTCCACAAAGATCCTAGAACTCGGACAGTTTTTTGCACCTTTTGATCTTTAAGTGTCGTTTACCACTTTAAGTCAGAATAGAGGATGAGCTGCCTCGTGACACATTTCTTTTTTCTTTAGTACCTCGTCATCCATATATCCTGCAGGAGATTCTCATGTGATTTTGTTTTGCTGCGGAACTGTATAAACACTAGAGTTGGGACTTTGTCGAAAAAATTTTTAAATTCTTCTGTAGTTGACACTGGCCGAATAGTTTACGCTTACGTAACGTGGTGAAAAGTCGAAATGGATATTTATGC